AATATTTGGACTGGTCTTTCCGGTTGGAAGGGGTCCGTGAGGGTAGGGCCCATTTGAGAGGGTAATCCCGTTGGATCTGGTGGAGGACTTGTCCCATGGGAGAATTAAGGGGCGTGTACCACTCGAACCGACCGGACGGTCGGGCCGGTGCCGACCGGTTAGTGTGAGGAGGTCGGTCGGTATATTGAGGTGTTTGGCTGTTATACTGGGTGTTTCTGGGTTCCGAGTCTTTTCTCTGAGGGTCGGGTTTTTGGATATTGGATCCTGCCAAGCAGCTAGTGAATCTTCGGCATTCATGTATTTTTGGGCTTTGGATATAGGGCTGTCATGGAGGTCGGGGGGTTTTTGGAGAAGGAGAAGAGGAAATCGGACGATCGTAGCCCGGCCATGAAAGCCGTGAGGATGACCTTATCGTCATTCTCTGCTACTTGTAGGGCTTCGGTGTTGAAGCGGGTAACGAAGCTGCGCAGCGACTCCCCTTCGGTCTAACGGATGTTGAGGAGTTGGGTTGCAGGGCGGCGTTGGTGCTGGGCTCTAATGAAATGGCTGAGGAAGGAGTCGCTGAAATGCTGGAAAGTGGAGACAAAGTCTGCTGGTAACTGACTAAACCACAGTCGAGCTTACCCCTTCAGTGTCACGGGGAAAGCCCGGCACATGATCTCGTTAGGGAAGGCATGGAGGATCATAAGGGTACGGTAGGTCTCCAGATGGTCGACTGGATCCGTCGTACCGTCAAAGGAGTCAATGGTAGGCATTTTGAACTTGGCGGGCAAAGGTTTGTCCCGGATGGAGGCAACAAATGGTGAATTTGTCATGGTAGAGGGTTTATGCTGAATATTCTGTATGACCCCTTGAAGTTGGAGCTTAATTGCTCGGAGCTCAGCGTCCCAGAGGGGAACGTGGTCACCATGGTTAGTCAATAGAGGCTGGACGCTGCTGGCCTTCCCTTCAAGGGCTGGTGCTACGACCGACGGGTGTGGGTGTGGAGGTGGTGGTGGTGGATTTATATGTGGGTGGGGAGGTTGCAAACCTTCCAAGTTTGGTGGATGGAGTTGTGGAGCAGTATGGCTCGGGGCTCTTTCTTGGTTGGGGGGAATATCTGGAGGTGGTGGAGGAGGCATCGGAAGGTTTCTTTGGAGTAAAGCATTTATCAAGGCCTGGTTTTGCTCGGCCATGCGGTTAATGCTGTTGGTAAGCTCGATAAAATACTGTTGTGGGTTGTTTGGATTGGGGGGGTCGGCCTGATGGTCAGCAACATTATTGTGAGAAGCCATGGATCTAGTCGTGACCATGCACTTTGACGGGTAGGAGAAAGAGGTTGTTGGAACGGGGTCTTTGGCGACAGTGAACACAACTGGCGCGAGGAGCAAGGCGTTTCCATAGACGGCGCCAACTGTTGATATAGTTTATCCCAGTGAATGGAGCGAACTGGTTCAAGCTCCTCAAGCCCAAGCCCAAATGATCGAGCCCACCAGATAACCTGCAAACAAGTTCAACGGGGAACGGGGTAGTCCCCTAGTGAACCCTCCGACGAGCAAGTTAGGAAGAGAAGTAGAGTATATGGAGAGAGATTAGAGATAGAAAGCTTAACCTTTTTCTTGTCTTCAACGTTCGCTTATATCCTTTGGCAATAATTCGCTGTCCCTTCCGACCTGCTCTCCTCGCCGAAAGCCTATGCCGTAGCTTACCTTGCTCAGGGTAAGGGGGTCCTGTTCCGACGGAGAGGTGTTGTCGTAATAAATGCTGTGATGGGTTGCATTAATGGTGATGTGCAGTGGCAATAACTTTGTAGATCTTTGTCTGCTGATGTGGCTCGTCCTTCTCTTGCCGTGTGTCTGAATGTCATTGACTCTTTATGCCATGTTGGACTCCAGCTGTCCTGGACCTCACCAGCTGGGTTATGCACTGGGCTCCAAGTGATGGGCTTGGATTGTCCATAGGTGATTCGTGGCCTTTATGGGCTTATACATGTCAGATATAAAAATACATTATTTTTAAGTTCTTGATTTCCTTGCCAAACAAATAATTTTGGATGGAGAGAGTATATAATTAAAGAAAATTTGAAGCTCAAGCAAAATATAAATATAAAAAAGGCTATTGCTAAAACAATATATTTTGGGAATCATTTAAGGTGGAGTTTTTCGCTCTCCATATGCCCTCTAATTTAGATTTTTTTTTTTTAAAAAACTCTATCTTAGACTGATGAGCATTGGTTAACTCAAAGATTAATACATTTATTATGTTAATATTTTAACTAGTTATAAAATATCATGTGACATTACCTATGCGATACTCTAAACTAATCACTTAACGAAAAAAATCTTAATAGTGGTGCTAATTCACTTTTATTAGGTAATAATTGAGAGACAAATGTGTGTTGTGATTTTTTTATTAGCTAAGAATATTCATCGACAATAATAACACATGTATTTCAGAAAATTTAATAAAAAATTGAATAAATTACGGATTAGTCATACATGACGAATTTACATCTGTAAGTTTTGTACAACTAATAAGTCTTAAAATACTTATTATAATATTAGTCCCTCATAAAATTTCTGACAGTCGTGGTTAAAAGTAGGGTTTAGTGAGCCCATGGCCCTCGGGCCATTATGGCTTGCCTTATTCAGCTTGTAAGGCAATCATCCAGTATTGGGTTCAAACTCGGCCCTCCCTGCTCTCGAAGCCCAAACTAAAAAACAAGATCAGCGTATTGCCCAATTGATTAAATTGCTGTGGAGACTGGGCTTTTTGCGGCTCATCTACGAGTCACTTCTACATTGAAATTAACGTGTTGGATTGTTCACCTTTTTTTAGTAGTTTTTAGTTTGTTTGTTTGTTTGTTATTTATTTATTTATTTATTATTATTGTTATTATCTTTAAGAAAGTTTTTTTTTTAAAAAAAATAAAATAAAATTCAATAAACTTTAGGGTTCTATTCTACTAGATGGATGAGAAAAATACAATTTATAAAAAATATTTGGAAAAAACTTTTGAAATAATTTTTTTTTTGTGGAAATATTTCTATTTTTTTTAATTTTAAATTAATTATATAAAATGGATATGAAATATTTTTAAAAAACTGACATAATTTAAAAAAAAATTACTAACGCAGTGTTTAGTTGGGGGATTTAGAAATAGAAAGAGAAAAAAAGTGTGAAATTAGGTAAAATATAGGTGTATTTTATTTATATTTCACTTACATTTTTCTTTTTCTTTTCTTTTTTCAAATCTATTTTCAAATCTCTCAACCAAACACAGCGTAAAGATATTTTTTTTTTCTTTTTAAAATGTTTGCCAAACTCAGCCTAAATTCTAATTGAATAAATCTTGGCGTACACATGCCAAGAACAATAATAATTGATGCTCATTTAATCATGTCATTTTCTAATCATCCAAAGTAATGCAAGTATTATGGAAAATTAAAATTGAATAATCAATAATAATTCTTTGATAACTGCAATCGTCATCACTATTAAAATAAATACAAAATCATCTACAGTAAATGAAAAAAAAATCAATAAATTTTATTTTTTTCCCCAATAAAATACCATGAATCATGTGTTAATAAAACTCAAAAATACTTTATTGAGTAACATAAAACTAAAGTAAGAACTTTATTTAAAAAAAAAAAAAAAAAGGCCTAAGAGGCATGGATTTATTATACTTCGTTTGATTCTTAATTTAAGAATTAAACAACAATTAATGATTATTAGTTAATTTAAATCAGAACCAAACAATCCTCTCAGTTAAAATTGATATATTGGTTCAATTGATTTTTTTCAACACGCCACTATTCTGTATGCATGTGATGAAAAATGATAAAATTTTATTTTAAATTATTTTTTTGAAATATAAATATAAATTTTATTTCTTAATTCTTATGTTTTTATTCTTTCACGTCCCTAAAAAAATAAAGGAGAAAATATAAATAAATTATAAATTTTTATTAGTGTCTATTTAAATTAAAATATTAAGATTTAAATTGATTAAATAAAAAAAAGATTTATTATTTTATATATAATTTCACCGAAAATAAATAAATAAATAAAATGGAGCATCCAAACATAATTTAGGAAAGGGAAGAACCAGTGAAAGAATGGTGGCAGTCATGGGGGATTTGCAGTTAGAATCTCCGAGGTCTCTCAGCTTTCTGCCTCCCACTCTTCACTCCCACAAAGAGGAGAGAGAGAAGAAGAAGAAGAAGAAGAAGAAGAAGAAGAAGAATATAGAATAGTGGGATTGGCTTGGAATGGTGTACCACCACCGATGATGACAACACTTTATCTCTTGCTTCTTTGGAACAAAGAATGAAATCAAAAACAACAAAAACAAAAACAATACAGAATGGTTTCCATTTGCAGTAGACATCCTAATCCCATTCTTGTAAGCTTTTGTCTCTCTCTCTCTCTGTCTCTCTCTCTATTTATCTTATTGGTTTCATGTTAATTATCGCTCTTTATGGCTTCTCATTGATTTTTCAAGCTCATCTCTGCTTTTTACAATCTGGTTTTTTTCATTGAATCATATCTGTATGAGGGTTTTGCTTTTCAACTTTTGTTTTTCTCTTTCTGTCTTGATCTGGGCTTTGTAACCTTTGTTCCATTTTTGTCTTCTCATGTTCTTCTGTTCTTTCCTTTTAGTTTTTGTCCCCTGCACTTTTGTGCTCTCATGTTAAGGATTTCTTCACTTTTAGTATTTATTTTTCTAATTGTTCTGCTTTATATCTCCAATTATGTTTCTGTGTTGGTTTTGATGCAGCTTAATTGTTGCTTTTTGACTCTTACACATACCTCCACTTACTAGGTTTCCCCACCCCTATTTTTATATGATTTGCTTTTTGACATTTTTGTTTTTGATGTTCTAAACTTCTTTTTCTTTCATTTGATGAATTTTATCATTTCTATTGCAGATGTCTCACTATTTTTGGCTTTGAAAGAGGTGACCCTTCTTTTCTTTTGCTTTCTTGGTTTCTTCATATAAATTACTGTTGTATGTAAATGCAGGGTGAGTTTATTGGGATTTGATTACCCACATTCTTAGCAAAAGAGCAGGGATCGGATAAAGGGTTGGCTTGACTATTATTTTTCTGTGCATTTCTTTTTTAATGAGAACAATTAGTTGTGTAATTTGAAGGATGGGGGATCATTTTGAGCTTCTGGTGGATCGGTTGCTCACTCAATCCACCCTTGAAGCTGCTATTGAGAGCAAAAAACAGTTGCAGCATGACATTCTATCGGCAAGTGAAGATATGATGAATGGTTTTTCTTCTCATAGGATGGATGCTGATAGTGGATCATCACCGAGGAAATTGGTTTTGTGTAGAATTTGCCACAATGAGGATGAAGATTCAAATATGGAGATTCCTTGTTCATGCTGTGACACTTTAAAGGTCAGTTTCTTTAGCCTCTAATCATTTGAGTAAAATACCAAATTGTTGATGGAAATTTTGGTTTAGTATTAGTTTCGTGTCAATTACTTGTAGAGTGTTTGCAAAACTTGTCGAATTGATGGAACAGTTCAATATACTTCTACCATAATGTGGGGATATAATTTTTGAATGGCAACACCTGACCGAGGTGGCACCGAAGTGTCAGCCGAGATTTCACGTGTCCCGACATGACGCCGAGATGATCTCGGTTAGGCCGAGGTTATGTCCGAAGATACCGGAGTCCGGGATAAGCGGATAAGGGACAAGAGTCCTAGAAACGAGAGAAGGCTTCAGTTTGGATAAAGATAAAACTCTTAGAGAGTTTATCCAAATCCTACTAGGAGTCCAAGATTAGTAGTAATCCAAAGTCCATTGAAGCCAGACTCCTATTAGGATTAAGTTTGTGATGATTATAAAAGAGAGGCACCCCCATGGGTCTGAGGTACGCTTTTTGTATTCTGAATAGTGAGTTAAGCACTTTTTCTATCTTAGAGAGATAATTGACTTGATCGTCGGAGTACCCCCAGGTAGACGAACCACCGCCAGAATCTCTTCTTTCTGTTATAGGTTGTTTGGGCTTAACTTATTTTGCCGGTGCTCTTCAGCTGAGTTCTCCTTTTTAGTTGTGTGGTCGGAAATCAACACCCACAATTTGGCGCCGTCTGTGGGAAAGAAATGAGAATAGATGTCCAATAACAGACAGAAAGAGAAGATTGGAGACGACACTCCTACTGGAAATAGAAAACCTATTGACCTTGACGTCGAAGAAGACAACTGCAACAAAGAGACTCGTGATAAGATTCACGGAGAGAAGGACGTCAACCAGGAGGGCGACATACCAAAGAAATCAGATCGAGGCGGGTATTACAACGAGGACGACCTCCAGGTATGGAAAGATAGATTCCTACGGAGGGACGATGAGATGAAGGAATTGACAAACAAATTGGCGGACCTACAATCGATCGTCAATTTCATGATGCAGAACAACGTAATGCAACCGCCGTTCCCGTTGCAAGATATACCAATTCCAGTGGCCAAAAAGGATGCCCAACTAGGGGGCAGAAGACAATTCCTACGACTCCTCAGTACGATAGAATCGAGAAATACTCTCACCGGCCTTCAAGGGAAGTTGGACGAGGAGAATCAAGAAGGGGAGATTCACGGAGGACGCATTGCACTAAGGAAGCTGACCCCAAAGAACATCGGCATGTTCAGGGGAATGAGCTATGTTTCGACGCATCCAATGGAGAGAGGTCCAAAAGGGCTCACAATGATACTGGAAGTAGTACACCAAAAAGGCTGAAATCCATTGATAGCCGAGCTTCCGGACGGACCAAGGAGGATCTGAGGAGTTACTACTAGAGGAAGCAACAAGATGCCGAGGTAACCTCTCTGGTCAAGCCGATTGAAAAATTTGAGGCCCCGAAAAGGTTCAGTATGCTGAGGTTACAAATAAAACGAGCCGTTGCTCTGCAAGGTGTTTCCCTTTTCCTTCGGGGAAATTGCATCAGATTGGTTTCACAAGTTGCCAAAAGGAAATGTGAAAACCTGGGAAAGCCTGGCCGAGGTGTTTGTGGCCAGGTTCGTGACAAACAAGTTACAACCATTGAGGGTGGACGCCTTGATGGCCTTGAGAATTAGTGAAGACGAAAGCCTTAGGGCCTATGCCAAAATGTATTATGAGGTGTTCAACCGTATCCCCGGATGCAACCAGGAGGTGGGAGTCGTTTCTTTCAAGAATGGCCTGAAAGATGATTGTCCACTTCGAAAGTCATTGGCATCTTTCAAGAATGACCTGAAAGATGATTGTCCACTTCAAAAGTCATTGGCAAAGACATTACCAAAAAGCATGGAGGAGCTCATGGCTAGAATTGAGAAATATGCTAGAGTCGAGGAAGATACACCGGGGACAAAGGCGTCCAAACAAGAGAAGAGAAACGGTTCGCTGAAGAGAAACGGTTCGCTGAAGACGCCAGAGTCGCCAGCAGAGTCGCCAGAAATTGTAGACGTCCCCGAACGCCCCGGGAGGATGAGCTCCCGTTGTGTTCGATATTGGGGTCACTACAGCTCAGGACTCTCAAATTTGTCACGGTTCTAAGTCTGAACCAAAGAGTCCAAATCCGGCAAAGCTGAAGATAGTGTAAAACCAATCTGGATCAAGCCAGGATCCTTCCCAGTACTTACGCTAACAAGCATGATCTCAATCATTAAGGGCTTAGCATGCCTCTTTTCTCTCAATTGATCAAAATTTTGCAAAACCCGAGGAATCCCTTCCTCTTCGTTTTCACCGCAGTGTTAAAAAACTTTGAAAAACTTAGGTCAATGGAATGATTTTGGGGTGCAGAAGAGTAGGCGAAAAGTACTGCTGTTTCATTCAAACTTTCTAGCACAACTTGCAATATCGTAGGGATTCTTTTGGCCTTACATGCAAAAGGAAGCTGAAGCCTATGTAAAAAAACGTGAAAATGTTGTTGAAATCCACCTGCAACTTGCGATAGAACAGCAATTCGGCTGGGGGCATACCAACAACAACTTGTTAGGGCTTACAAACAAGAAGGTCAGCCCAAGAGAGTTCAAGGATAGGGACCTCATCCTGAGAAAGGTTGCTAGCAATAGGGCATATTAGCTGAAGTAATAATAAAAGTACTAGTTTGATTTTTGTGAATTTGAAATTTGTGCGATAGAACCGACCAGTCCTATGACGATGTTTCTGATTGAAACATAACGAATAACTTAGACTTATTATATGGCAGAGTAGAAACTTTACTTGCATATAATAGAGTTGAACAAAGTTGGTGATGTTTTTGATTGAAACATGACGAATAACTTAGACTTATTATATGGCAGAGTAGAAACTTTACTTGCATATAATAGAGTTGAACTAAGTTGGCGATATTTCTAAGCGAGACATGACGAATAACTTAGATTTATTATATGGCAGAGTAGAAACTTTACTTGCATATAATAGAGTTGAACTAAGTTGGGTTAACTTGGACTTATCATATCGGCAAAATCAGACATAGATTGGAGCCAAACACATGCCAGTTAGATTAACAAAAAGACTGAGGTTGGTAACCTCGGTCAGTCTTTGTATGAATCTGACTTCGGTGACAAGATCAAAAGCCACATGCTTAATGAGAACCCAAGTGGAACTTAAGTTCACATTAGGGGGCAGAGGGCTGGAGAATAATGCTTGGGAGTTAGAATTTAAAAAAAGATGGTTTAACACTTGTTGAAATTTTGAGAAAAATTTACAAGTTGAAGTTAAGCTGAGGTTATGTTACAAGAAGATGGTTTAAACACTTGTTGAAATTTTGAGAAAAATTTATAAGTTGAAGTTAAGCCGAGGTTATGTTACAATAAGATGGTTTAACACTTGTTGAAATTTTGAGAACAATTTACAAGTTGAAGTTAAATCGAGGTTATGTTACAAGAAGATGGTTTAACACCAAGTTGAAGTTAAACCAAGATTATGCTGCAATAAAAGAAAACAGAGGTCTCGAGCGAAATGGCAAGATGTAAATAACGTTGGTGAAATTTGTATAAATATTTTCAAGTGTTAGGACAAAGCTGAGGAAAACTGTTAGTGGGAATAGCCGAAGTATTCCACACCGAGAAGATTACACAGTCAAGGTGTATGTCGAAGACATGAAAATTATTCCAAGTATAAAGAGTCATACAAGAGTAAAGGAAGACAAACATACAATCACATTGAAAGAAGAAAGTTATATTTGCATTCAGATACGAAAGTTCAAATACAAAAGGCACTTCGGCCTGACATTAATTCAGATCGCAAAGGTGGTATGCTGGCCAAATTAAAGCTTACACTGTTTCAAAAAGAAAGGAAAAGATACAAGGTACAGAAGTAAAAAACAAGCATCAAAACTAAACTACTCGGCGTCGTTAATCGGTTAGGTTTGGGGCTTAGAGGACATCTGGGAAGACTTCTCGGCAGCCTTCTCAACCGCGAGCTCGGTACCGATTTCTTGAAGAGTTTGATCAATGCTCTTCTCGGCGATAGGCATGTCCGATGTTGTCTCAGGAGTGGCATCTTTGGAGACCTCGCCTTCCTCATCCTGAGACAAGTCTACGACTTGATCATTGAGAGTAGGGGACTTGGCCCCAGCAGCGTCCTTCGTCTTCCTAACCAAAGCTTCTTTCTCGAACTCGGAATCGTCTTCGAATTGGCTTGGAGTAGGGGAAATGGCAGGGAAAGGTCACCAGCATTCTTGAGTGGAGAATCCTCGGGGACATCAAGCTTTTTGAGAGCAGCCATCCAACCAAGGGTAAAACCCTTGTTGCATGCCTGCCTCACTTGCTTTTTGTAATCCTCCTTGACATCGGCCGCCCCCTCAACATACGCCTTCTCATCGGCCGCTTTGATCTTGGCTGCTTTCGTGGCCAAGGTAGCCCGAAGCTCGGCTTGAGCCTCAGTAGTTTTTATCTGGGCATCATTCTTCTCAACTTCAAGGACCTTCTTAATGGCCTTTGCAGCGTCTGTTTTTTCCTCGACCGCATCCTAAGCTTTTATTTCAGCCTCGGCCTAATTTGACAAGGTTTTCATTTTGCCCTTAGCCTTCTTCAAAGCCTTCTGCAAGCTAGCAGCCTCTTTGGTTTTATTCGCCAACTCCTTCTTGATGGCGAAGGCTTGCATTGCAAAAGAGTGGCCATGCTGAATCGCCTAGGAGAAATGGAGAAAAACGAGTTAATAAAACTCTCTAAGTATGGGGTAGCGGAAAGAAAATGAAAGATTACAAAGTGTTAAGGGCTAACTTGGACAGAGCGTTGCAACATCAGAGCAAAGTTCTCATACTCGCTCATCCCGGCGTTGTACTCGAGATCGTTAGGAAGGAGCAAGGCGGTAGAGAGGGCAACGCCGACTTCAATATCGTCGGCACTGTCGCCAACTCTAACCGGCTTGTCCTCAATTGGAATAGGAGGAGGCCAGGGGGCATCTGATT